GATGACATCTCTGGGGATCTCCAGGGCAGGGAAAACAGTGTTATCCAGGATGATGGAATCTCAGATATGACACCTGCCTGCCAGTGCTGTGGCTCTGTGTGGGGAGGGCTCAGAAAAGGGTCAATGGCCTCTGCCCACCTTTCTGTCTGGGAGAAAGTTATACCCCAGGCTCACCTTGATGCCAGATAGTTCAGTTTCTCCCTGAATATCCCACTGGTGCCTTTCAAGCTGCTGCCCTGATGCTGGAGCTCAGAAGGAGTAAGTCTGAATGTCTGCGTGGGGGTTCTTTAAGGGGAACTACTTGGGACTCCAGAAGTTTCTTCCACTGACTCAGTCCCTGCTGGTTTCTGCAGCCAGAAGGTGTGGGGATTTGTCTTCCTGGCACTGGAACCCTGGGCTGGGGAGTCTAGTGTGGGGCTGGGACTTCTTGCTCCTGAGATATTCCTCCCAAGTTTTTACCTACAGCACGTGAATTCCAAAATCTGCTCATTCCAAATCTGCACCCCTCCTACCAGTCTGACTGGATGTAGTTTCTTACCATAGTTGTCAGACTTCTATTCAACTTGATTTCTGATGGTTTTGAGTAATGATTGTTCTATAGTTTAGTTGTAATGTTGTTATGTTTTGTGAGGCGAACCGTGTTTACCTATGTCACCAGTAATTTCAATCTTGAAGAAGCAACTGCACACATGAGCTTTATCTTTTGTCAGCTTCACAGGAATAAGGACTTTTTTTTTTTTATTGCTCTTAAGTTGACTTTGTAGGTCAATTCCATGACGACCAATATCTATGATAGTTTCTCTCCATTATGAATGTGGTATACTACTCCATTTATTTGCATCTTCTTTCAGTAAACCTTTGCAGTTTTGAGTGAAATGTCATGTATCTTTTTTCCCAGGACTTGCAAATTTTCCCTTAAATTCATGTCTATTTTGTGTTTTCATGCTGCTATAATGTTATTTAATTTTTTTAAGTTATTGATTTCTGTATCCTGAGACATTGCTTAACTAATATATATTTCAGTAAGATTATTGCTGATTCCTTAAAAATTTTTAAATGTAAAGTATTATATCTGCAAATTAGGAGTTTCATTTCTTTCTTTATGCCTGCCATTTATCTTATTAAACTGGCTAGGATCTCCAGCGCAGTGCTAAATAGAAGTTGTGAGAACAGGTATCCTTGTGTTATTTCTGATCTTACAGGGAAAATAATCACTGCTTCACCATTAAAAATGATGTTGACTTTTTAGTAAATATATGTGTAAATGTCTTTGATCTAATTGAGGAAGTTTCATCCCTATTCCTAGTTTTCCCAAAGCTTTCCTCATAAATCAGTGCTAACTTGTCAAATGTACCTTTTCTACTTTATTTTGTGAATGTGGTGAATTAATTATATTGAGTAATTTTGAAATGATATATTCATCTTGCATTACTGAGATAATCCCCACTTGCTCATGATATACAATCCTGTTTAAACTGATGGATTCAATTTGCTAATACTTTGTATTTTTAAGTCTAAGTTCTAAATGATGATGATGTGTACATTTAGTTCTCCTAATGTTTTTATCAGGTTTTATATGAGGGTATTGTTGGCCTCAAAAATCAGCTGGGAATTCTTCCCCTTCCTTTTTTCTGAGTTAGTATGAGATTAGCATATCTCTTATACATTTGATTAGTGAGTGAAACTCTTTGGGCAATGGACTTTCTTGTGGTGAGGTTTTTGATATACAAATTGATTGTGATAGTGGGTTATTAAAATTTTCGATTTCCTCTCACAGTTCTGACAAGTTGTGTATTTCAAGGAATTTGTCTACTTCATTTAATTTGTTAAATTTAATAGCATGAAAATGTTTGTAATTTATCCTTTTATGTCTAGGTTCTAAAAAGACATTCCCTGTTGCATTTATCATTCATCACATTGGCAATTTCTCTTCCCCTCTTCCCTACTTCTCATCTTGCTAATAGTACATCAATTTTATTTTTTTCAAAGAAACGCTCGATTTTTTAATTTTCTCTATTGTTTGTATCCTTTCTATTCATATCATTGATTCCTGCTGTCTTTAGTATTTCCCTCCTTGGGAAAAATTTCTTAAAGTAGAAACTTAATATTAACTATTTCTTCCTTTTAACATTTAAAGTTATAAATTTCCCTCTAAGTCTTGCATTAGCTGGTACCCCACACATTTTACTGTTGTATATGCATTATCCTTTAGTTTAAAATATTTTCTAATTTCCATTGTGGTTTATTCTTGATCAATAGGAAAAGAGTTAAAATACATTAATTTCCAGCATTTAGAAGCTTAGCTAGATATTTTAATGTTCATTTCTTATTCAATTTTGTTGTGGGCACAGAGCATACTCTATAAGATTTCAATCATTTGAAATTTATTTATTGAGATTATTTTATGGTTTTTCATGTGGTTTGTTTTTGCAAATGTGCCATGTCATATATTATACATTTGAAAATACTGCATATTCTACAGTCATCGGGTATATTGTTTTATGTTGTTTAGGTCAAGGTGAAAGAAAATGTTTTTCAGACACCTACATGCTTTCTGATTACTATGTTTTTCTATGTTCCACTGCTCTTTCTGGTACAAAATGTTAAAATCTCTGACCATAAATGTCTTTCATTCAGGGTTGTTTCATGTGTTTTGAAGCTGTATTATTAAGTTCTGACACAGTTATAATATCAATACCTTCCTAATATAGTGACCTTTCATCATTATGAAATCTTTAGTTTCTAATAATACTCAATGTTTTCAAGTGTTTTTTCCAGAAACAGTCATACCTCTCTACTTGTTGGCTTCAGAACTTGTCAAACCCTGTACTTGTCACGTTTTGATGAGAAAAAAATGTTTCAACACTTGGTGCTTGCTCACTTGGCACTTGCCCTCTTGCTAGAACTTGAATGAATCACGATGCCACGCCGCAAGGGAAAATGTTTTATCACTCATCACTTGAAAAATTCATTCAGTACTCATTGGTTGCAGCACTTGTCAGGAGTTCCTAGACGAACAAACGAGTGCCGAGATACCGCTGTACTTCTTAGGCTGAGGTGCTTGTGGCGCAAGATGTTCTCAGTGTCCGCGGCTCTGCTCCCTTCCACCTGATGGAGCTGGACACAGGTGGCTTCTGTCCAGTCTTCCTGTGCCTTCCCTGACTCCAGACTTACTCTGAAAATGCACAGCCTTTTGATGCATTTTCTTTTTGCTTAGTTCAGGCAAAACTGGTTTCTGTAACACCAAACTAAAAACTTAAAAATAGGAAAACTTTACATTTATTTTCTACTCTCCTTATTTTCTTATCACCATTTCAACATGCGGGGGAGTTGAGGTAAGGTTAACTTTTTCTAAGTTAATTTTCTAATCCTTCATTCAATGTGAACACATCTCCAAATTTTCCTTCAAAACTTCTCTCCCATCCATGAGTTCCTCACCATTTCCATGCTCTTCTCACTTCGTGGCTAGAGATTACTGTTATGGGCTGAGTACTGTGCCCCCAAGTGCACTATACTTATAGACAGAGCCTGTAAAGAGCTGATTAAAGTGAGGCCATTAGGGTGGGCCCTGAGCCACTCTGACAGACACTAGAGGGGAGAAAATCTGGAGACAGACAGAGAGACAGACACTGAAGACGTGTGCGCACACAGATGCAAGGCTGCGGGAGGGCCCAGCGCAAAGGGGGCTGCCTGTCAGCCAAGGACAGAGAGCTCAGAAGAAACTGAACCTGCCTTGCATCTTGACTTTCTAGCCTCAGTACAAGTGACATAAATAAATTCCCATTGTTTCACCCAGTCCAGTCTGGGACATTTTGTTATGACAGCCCTAGTTTAGTCATACAACTACTGAAAACAATGAGGACGCTGGAATACACCTTCAGACCTCTTACCAGCAGGTCAGCGATCTCAAGATCCGTGTAACTCAGAGTCACCTGAGAACTCTCTGCCCCTCTGCAGAGTCGGGCAACCTCGGTTCAAACCTTCAGTTCCACAGCAGGAAACACCACTGCCTTCCATTTAACTCACTCCAATTTCTGAACTTCTTTTTCCACCATCTCTGCGATCCATTCCTGACTCTAAGCATTGGATCACTCAGGCACCCGCCCCTGGTGCACAGCATCTCAGGACAGTCACCCCTGTCCACAGAAATTGAATGAATTCATGCCCTTGGGAGTTTACTAAGGCTCCGGGGGCTGTGTAAGGAAACTGCACCATGTGCTGCAGTCCCCTGCTTCCTGACTGGCTTTCCCACTGCCATTGCACTGGCTCCCCGCACCCACAACACACTGCCTGGTTGTCTCCTTTTGAAAATTAAAGCCAGCTGTCCTTCCCCTTACTGGCCTATGTCACTTCCTCAGCCCCCGAGTTCTCCTGCTGAATAATGAATTACTGTGATTCTACCCCTCTACACAGAAATCCAGCACATCGCTCCCCGATTTGAATCTCATTTGCCATCTCCCCATTGCTTACACGCAGAGCCCAGACCTCAGTCCAGCAATTCAGGACCTCCACAGTGCTCGCCCCCACTCCAACACACGTCACCCACAGTGACGTGTCCTGCCCATGAAGCACACTTAGCCCTGACAGCCACAGAAGCCTCTCTGACCTGGACCTAGGTGCTGGGCTCATGGTGTCAACTGCTATCCTCTCGTCTGCGTCCTCACTGTTCTCTGTGGGCCAACCCTCTGCTCTCTTGGGCCACCCTCACAGACACTTCCTAGTTAGCTTCAGCCCTTCTCAGAGTGCCTGCTACAAAGTGTGATGAAAGAATATATGAACAAGTTAACAAATAAACACCACGTTCAAACACTTCCAAGGGGTCCACTGCTTAAAGACTCAAGTCCAGAATGAAGCCTGATGTCAAGGGTCCTCCAGCATCTGCGCCCAGCCACACCCCCACCCTCAACTTCCCAGACTCCCTCAGCCCTTGTCAGCCACATGACAAGGAGGCCCTGCCATCTGCAGGCACTGGGTAGCCCAGGGGTGGCCTCTGGCTTTACCTGTGTGACTGCTGGTGCTTTCAAAGACTTTTTCTTTTTGGCTCTCTCTCCACCTGGAAGGAAGCAGACCATCCTTGAATCTCACAGATCTCTTCCAAAAATAACAATAATCTAAGGCAGTAGCCAGAAAAGAAACATTACCCAGTCAAGTTCTCACTTAAGAACTTGCACTTCCCCCTGCAAAGGAAAACTCACAAATAAAGACATGATGGGCGTGACGAAGGCCCACACACTCTAGCTAAGCTCCTCTACCAGGATGTCTCCTCTTCCCACCCGAACCTGGCAACCCTGTAGCATTTTCCCAGCAAGGATCCTCAAATGCCATCTTCTTGGACAGATACACACTGTTGTCTGGGAAGGGGCAGTGATTTCCCCGGGTCACTGACAACTACGGGGCAAGTCCAGGGCTAAGAGCCAGGCCTCCACGTCTGTGGACCTGCTCTTTGCACCGCATCCTGCTGAGTTCCAGACAATCTCCACCCTCTGTCCCCTCAGGGGAATCGCACTGAGTCTGTGGCAACAGGCTGTTACTGAGAGTGAGTGACAGCCCTTACCCCTAAAATACTGTCTCGTGCTGAGGAGGTGGAAGGGGTGTGAGGAGTTGTAGGCAGTTCGAGAGGAAATGAAGGGCTGGGATTATTACCCTGCCTTCCTGAGAACTTGCCTTCAGGGATGTGTTAGGTTGGTTGGTGAGGCAGGTTGTAAAAGAAATCACAAAGAGAAGTGTAGAGAGTAAAGTTCTTATTCACTCTCTAAGAAAAGAGAAGGGAATGATGTAGAGAGATACACCAGCACTGGGGGCTGGGGACCTTGAGCTTTTATTGGATTAGAATTGGATTAAAAAGGGGCGGGGGCTGTTGTGAGGCCCCAGGGCTGTTGGGATTCTGTAACAGGGGCTATGGTTTGTTCCAATGTTATCTTCCTCCCGTGGCTGTAGGAACAGTTAGTTCTGTTCTTGCTTCCAGTAATTTACAGTCCTGGGGACAACCTCAGGAGAGTACAATGGCATCATGTTTAACAAGGTCACTGGCCTGCTCGGCAGATGGCGGCACAACAGCAAATGTGCTGGCTTTGTGTTTTCAGGATGGATTACAGAAGAGTGTTTAACTATTTTTCAACTTTCCCTAAGAACCACTTACACTTTTATTTTTATTTTAGTTTTCCTTTTATACTCACCTATTGGTTTTAGAGAGAGGGGAGGGGAGGGAAAAAGAGAGGGAGAAAAATATCAATACGAGAAAGAAACATTGATCTGTCACCTTTTATAGGTGACTGGATCAGGAATGAAACCACGACCTAGGTCTGTGCCCTGACCAGGAATTGAATCCAACCTTTAGATTTGTGGGACAATGCCCAACCAACTGAGCCACTCTGGCCAGGGCTATACTTTTATTTATTTACTTATTAAATTTAAAATTATAAATATAAAATAGTATGGAGAGTCCTCAAAATACAGAACATCAAACAACCCAGAAATTCCATTTTGGGGTATTTATCCAAAGAAAATGAAAACACTGATTTCAAAAGACATATTCACCCCTATTTTCACTGTAGGATTATTTACAATAGCCAAGATATGGAAGCAACCTTGGTGGATGATCTAGAGGATATTTTGCTAAGTAAAATAAGTCAGGCAGAGAAAGACAAATACCATATGGTTTCACATATAGGTGGAATCCAAAAACAAATAAAACAAAGAAAGATGAACAGAAACAGAGAACAATGAGGTGGTTATCAGAAGGGAGGGGTGGGAGGATGGGTGAAAAGGGGAAGGGGAATAGATCCAACAATACCGTGATAAATTTTCATGGTGATGGGTGATACTAGAAATAGCAGGGTGATCATGTTTTAAGGTGTAAAAATGTCCAATCACTATATTGTACACCTGAAACTAATATAAAGAATACAAGATTGTATACCAACAATACTTAATGTATAGAAATGTAAAGCTTAATGTAAAACATAAATTTAAAAAATTACAAACATATACTTACCAATGAAAATAAAATATGGCAAAAATGAAAACTGTAGAAACAATATCCATGAGAAACCATATGAACTTATAATAACTTGGTGTCTACAAAAGAGAGAAAAAACAAAGAACTTTACAGACGGAAGGGATTTCTGATCATATGGGCCAAGCCCCCTGTCTGCTGCAGGCCTGGGGGCAGAGTGGAGGGGCAGCAGACCCGCCCAGGAGCCTGTCTGGGGCGGTGGCCTCCAACACAGAGAACACCTGCTGCTACCTAACAGTGACCCTCCACGTGTGGGGGCTCTACAAGGGATGCGATGCACACCCTCCACACAGGGGCCTGGGGGAGTCCCAGAGAAGTCACATAGCAAGCCTGCTCTGAACCCAGGACTACGGCCCAAGTTCCGTGGGCTCCCGTGCCCTGTGTTTTCATGGCACAGCTTCCCAAACCTGGCTGTGCGCCCAGATCTACAGTAACACCTGCAGTAATACAGGTCCCGGGTCTGCTGCAGACCTCAGGAATGAGAACTCCTGCATTTTTCACAAGCTCCTCAGGTGATACTAAAGCAACCAGTCTGTGAGCTAGCATTTAGAAATCACTGTTCTACATCGAGATGCTTCAAGTAAGTAGGCTGAAATTATAATTCTCCCTGAACATGCCCCCTCCTGCACGCTCCTCCAGGGGCCTGAATCGCCCCTGTCCCAGAGCTCCATCTCCTGGGGCCTCTGGTGTGACTTTCCTAATTCCCTGCTTGGACCCTCCCTTTCCCCCTCTCCTGTTCCCCCTGCCAGTTTTACTTGAAGCTACTGGGTGGCACTTTTTACTCCTTCTTAGGCCATTCTCCCCCATCCCAAGGTATTTCCTTGGACTGAATAATAATATCAATAAAAATACTAGTGATCATGATAATAATAACAATGAGCAATTAATGAGCATTTACAGGACCTAAAAAATCCTCACAACAGCCCTGCTAGGCTGGTACCATAGAAGCTCTAAACCAAAGTCCACTAAACTGAGGCTGTTACTGACCCCTGAGAAACACACTAACTGGGGCTTTGGCCTGCTTCGAGATGCGCACCGGGTGAGTATTACCAAGCAACGCCAAGAATAAGTTGTTCTTGCTCCTAAATGGCTTTGAACAGGTGCATCCATTGCATAATTTTGCAGTGCAATTAAATTTACTTGAATTTGAGGGAAATAAAAGTATGTCATTTTCAAGAAAACTAAGTCAGTGAGTTGAAAAACTCAATGAAGAGCAGTAGGTCATTAGAAAATAAACCACATTCGAATTAGGCGTGAGTAGAACACTATAAGAGATAATGCAGGAAGATTATAAAACTTTGGGTGTAGTCTTCATTCAGATTGTTTCTCCCTATGATGATATTCTTGATCTGCTTTAATGAAATGAAACTTAGAAATCATAGCTGGTTCATCTGAATATTTAAATAAGCAAGAGAATACATAATCCAATCAGCTAAATTATCCTCATAGATTCTGACTCTCTGTCAGAAGATGGGTGAATATTTTAAATTAAAAATAAAATGTGTAAAGTATGTGTGTGGTAGATTATAAAATGACCACAATATTCCTCCTAAAATGCAAGCCTGTGCACAATGTGACTTTTCTGCTCCTCCCCATCAAGAGGTGGAGTGTGTCTCTTCCCTGGCCCACCTTGAATCTGCACTTGGATATGTGGTTTTCTTTGGCCAATAGAACATCAGCAAACGACACACTGGGAGAACCTTGAAATGTACATGCGCATCGGGGTTGACCTCTCCTGCCGCTGGGAACCCATTGCCACCAGGTGAACATACTCAAGCCTTAAGGATGATGGACCCCATGAAGAGACACCCACCCAGTCATCCCAGGGAAGACTCTGGACATATGAAACAGGCCGTCCTAGGTCGTACAGCCCAGCCAAGCTGGTTCAGACCAGAGGAACCACTCCATCCATCATACAGAATATAACAAATGTTTGTTTTTAAGCCACTAAATTTTAGGTGGGTTTTCTTTTTCTTTAAGTAGAAAAAGCTGATAGACTTATGTGTCTTTTTTATGATTCCTCACTTTAGCTTTTTCAATTAACAGACCAATGATCAGAGGAGACTGTGTTGGATAAAAGTGTATCTGTGTACTATTATCATTACCAGCTTACAAATAAACAAACTGTGGCACAGCAGGTTACCTAACTTCAAGTTCACACAATGAATGGTAAAGCCAGGATTTGAATCTGCATATTTTAATGCCAGAGCATAAGCTGCCTGGGAAAGCCCTGGAGCCACTGGCCCCGCCTCCCTGAACGAAGTGACACAGGGCCTTTAAAAAACGGCACAGGCCCCGTGTAGAAGAAAGTTTGTTGTATTTTTTTTAACCCACACACTTTTTTTTTCTTTTTAAATTTCGAATCACATGAATTTATTATCAAGTATTAAAATAAAGTTTTACTTAACAAAATTTTATTTAACATATCCAAAGAAGACAACTTTGAGACATTACTGATTTAGGGGGATAGGATTATGGAGGAGTGTATAGCTTTCTAATTTATGCATTTTTGTAATGATTAAGTTTTATATGAGAAACAAGTTTTCTTTATAATCAATTTCAAAAACAAAAATGTTAGAAAAATATATAGTACACACATGAATGGGAATTTTACAAGGACAGACGGGGGTTGGTGGGGGGGGGACCTGCCATCCAAGGTTTCTTTCAGGGTCACCTTGAGAAAACTGCTCAGGCCACCAGAAGGGGTTGGCAATTTTACAATGCCACCAGAGGGCCTCAACGCATGACTGGCCCTGTGAGATTGTGTCCTTGTCCCTGACCCCCTTCTCCTGGCCCTGGCCCTGGCCCTGGAGAAGGTCAGCAAAGGAGGCTAGTCAGGCTGGAAGATGGAGACAACAACCTGAAATAGTTAGGCTTCTCTTGCCTAAAGCTTTAACTTCCAAGGCAGTTTGGAGTTTGGGTTATTACTCTGCAGTGGACACATTTGATTCTGAATTGAGGCTTTTTGGTGTACTAAAATGAACTTTTAAAAATGATCTAAGGGTGACTAGAAAAGCTATGGGACCTGAGTAAAACTTCACTCAGGGGAACAGAAAGGCCTAACTCAAAGAGCGGTTTAAAGTGGCAATGGAGAGAAACTAAGCTGTCTTCTGCTGTGTGCTGTTGTGTCCCGTTCAGGAAGCCTACTACACACAGGTAAGAAAAACAGTCTTTGTGGCAGTTAACCAGTTAGCTGGGCTCTGTCTAAGTGATGAGGCTGCGCTAGGATTTTA